CAGCTCCCTCCAGTCTCCACCATCACTATGGCTAATAACGACATCAATCAGGTTGACCACGTTTCACACCATTACTCCCAGCTCAGCAGGAAGCTACATATTTTCCCCCTCACCCACCACCTTCCAGAAAGAAGAGCTTTCCAGAAGGGAAAAGCATGAAACGTTTTTTTCTGAATACCTACTATGTGCACGGCACCTGGCTAACCCCTTCTCTCTGACCCCGCAAGGTCGGCGGGGGGGGGGGACGGGGGAGGGCAGACTCTTTCTCTTTGCGGGAGGAAGAAACGAAAGTCCAGAGGAGTGAATGCAGGTGTCCAAGGTCACCCAGAGCCGGAACCGAGAACAAGCCTGGCAGTGATGTATTACTGGGCACTTGCTGGCTCGCGGTGCCAGTCACGTACATGATCCCACTGAAATGTTACCATGTTCAGATGAGGAAACTGAGGCCTGAGGCAGTGAAGAGATCTGAGGCCACATGCTGTATAAACACGAGCGGCTGACAGGTGCAGGCAGAGAGGGTGGCTCTCCGCTCAGGCAGGAGAGTGCGTGCCACCGGCTAGCTTCAAGACCTCAGGTCACCTTCCTGAGCCTCAGTTTCCCCATCTGAAATAGGGGATAGTGAGCACATCCATCCCGCTGTGTGGAATAACAATGTGGATAAAGACAGTAAAAAAGCTGACGTTTATCGATCATTTAACATGCACCAGGCACTTTGCCAAACACTCTACATATGTAAGCTCGTTTGGTTAAATGAGGTAATGCATATAAAGTGCTTAGCACAGGACTCCAGAAATGGGAATGATAATGATGATGAAGAAACTGACGAGGAGTCCCTTGGGCAAATCTCCTTGGTTCATCTTACAGGAAGAACAGAGTGGCCTGTAAGGTTTCAGGAAGGGTGGATCTGGAATGAAGGGCAGGAGTGGGGCAAGGGGAGGGAAACGAGAAGCACATAAAACTCAGGGAGTGAACAGCATTCAGAAGGTCAAGATGCGGGCCCCCTGGGAGGCCCGGTCCGGGTAAGCGACCAACTCTTGGTTTCTGCTCAGGTCGGATCTCACGGTTTAGTGGGTTCGAGCCCCACATCCGGCTCTGTGCTCGAAGTGCAGAGCCTGCTTGGGATTCTCTGCCTCTCTCTCTCTGCCCCTGCCTTACTCATGCTGTCTCTGCCTCTCTCAAAATAGATAAATAAACTTTAAAAAAAAAAAAAAGGTCAGGATGATACACTAAGTAGGTGTGCCTGGGTGGCTCGGTCGGTTGAGCGTCTGACTCTTGATTTCTGCTCAGGTCATGATCTCATGGTTCGTGGGTTCAAGTCCAGTGTGGGACTCTGTGCTGACAGAGAGGAGCCTGCTTGGGATTCTCTACCTCTCTCTCTGCCCCTCCCCCCGCATGAGTGTATGTGTGCGTGCATGCGCATTCTCTCTCTCTCTCTCAAAATAAGTAAATAAACATAAAAAAAAAAAAAGATGATACACCAAGTAGAATTCAGGAAGGGAAGTGACCCAAGATGTTCTGCAGAACCGCACCAGATGGAGGCGCCCTGAAACCTCCAGTCCAGCCAGTCCCACGGTCCCAGATGGGTAGAACTGGTGGGACTCTCAGAGACACAGACCACGGCTGCTTCCCATTTTACAGATGGAAAAACCAAAGCTTGCAGTGGGAAGAAGACTCGTCCGAGTTCACAGGATGTCAGTGGCGGAGGTGTACTTGAATCCAAGCCTTCTGCCTCTGCTACCTGCTGCTTCCCGCAAAGGAAGTAAGTGTATGTGGCCGGGGGAGGGGGAACCCAGATATGTTTTGGCCACAATTCCAGGAAAGCATCCCATGGTATATATTATTATGAGGACCGTAAGAAGCTATAGTTTATTGTGCCTGGCACAGCGCTAAGTTCGTTATATGTGTTTACTCTTCACAACGACCCTGAGAATAGGGAACTGTTTACATTATCTCTGTTTTGCAGATGACAGCATTGCGGCTCAGAGAGGGTAAGCAACTTGCCTAAGATCACACGGCTAGGAAGTGACAACGCCAGGACTCGAACCCAGGCCTCTCAGATCCAACTCCAGAGCCCTGTGCCTGCACTTGTCCATCTGGACGGTCCAGCCCCCACTTGCTCCTCCTACTCTCCAGTACACTCTCACCCTATTCTCCGTCACCCAAAGCAGGTCTATCCCAACTAGAAGAGTGTTTAGAACCAGCCTGTCTTATACTAACGATCAAACCCCGTTCCAAAGAGAAAAACTGAGCCGAGAAACATTTCACAGCCTTTTCCTTCTCGGCCCCTTTCCACGGGATGAGAAAACAGGCTCCGTTCTCTCTGGGATGATGTCAGGCTGGTGGATTCCAGCATCCAGGAGTACGCGGCAGAAGCCGCCAGGCAGCAGAGGCTCTTGGGATCTCGTGACAGCTGAAGGGTCCCGCTCTGCAATCCAGGCAGAGCAACAGAGGCAAGGGATAGAGCTCCAAGTCCCTTCCTGGAGCACCCCCCTCCCTCCAAATTATCTCACGTTAATTCCCACCAGTTGCCCGAAGTCACCCAGCCAAAATGTATTAGAGTCAGCGTCCCACCCAGGTCTTGCCTCCTTCCAGAGGCCTTATGCTGGCCAATTCTCTGAGTGGAAGGGTGGGGTTAGCTGAAAGAGAAAGCTCTGGAGGCCGAGAGCAGGAAGGACCTCCCAAAGGACCCCTGATTGCTCTGGGCCAGAGCTACTTATTTTTAAATTAAGAAGGCAAAAGGGGCACCTGGGTGGCTTAGTCAGTTAAGCGTCCGACTTTCGCTTAGGTCATGATCTCGCGGTTCGTGGGTTTGAGCCCCGCATCGGGCTCTGTGCTGACTGCCAGCTCGGAGCCTGGAGCCTGTTTCGGTCTGTGACTCCCTCTCTCTCTGACCCTCCCCTGCTCACGCTGTCTCTCTCTCTCTAGAAATAAATAAAAACCTTAAAAAATAAAAATAAAAAAATAAATTAAGAAGGCAACAGAGAATGCGGGCTTCAAAGCCTGACGCCTACCTGTAGAACTTCGGGCAGGTTATTTTATAGGATCATACGAGGATTAAATGAGTTAATACGTGGAAAAGGGCTTTACGAGAGAGCCCAGCACCCAGTAAATGCTCCCCAAAGCTAACCACGGGCAGCTGCATTAGCAGCAGAGAACGAGCATGCGGCAGGCTGCCACCAGTGCTTATCTTCGGGGTTGGGGGACCAGGCATAGAAGCGAATGTACGTTTAAGTTCTGCCGTTCGATTACTGATGGACTCATTTTTACAATATATGCATGTTACTTTTCTTCAAGCATAAAAAAGTCCTAGTTTAAAATTTAAAACTTAATACACAGAAAACAAAAAAAATTCTCTGAAAAGTTGCATCACTCCTTGGCACTGTACGGTCCTCCAAGTATATAAAGAACGGGGTTTCTACTGAGAGCCAGGTGTTACCAAATACCTGATTCGTTCATTTATTTTACAAATACTAATGGCCAGGCCCTGCTGGGGTTTAGCAGGGAAAGAAACAGATCATCTCTGCCCTTCTGGAGTTTCCACTCTACCTGATTTGAATTAAGCCCCCCCCCCCCCGCCAACCCTCAAGGATGGGCAATTTACAGACAGGCAGACCAAGGTGGCCCGGTGGAGGGAAGTCGCTTGCCCTGAGTCCCACAGTAGGAAGCAGGGCTTCTACCTTCAGGGTCTGGCTGTTTCTACCACTACCCAAGAGGGTAAGTCTGTGGCCGGAAAGTTTGGGGCTGTCGTCCCCAGGAGGAGAGAAGCAAGACGTATGAGGAGGTCTGCGCCTCCGGACTCAAACATCAGCCGTATCGGTTGTCAGTGCACGTGGGCGATCGTGGGGTGAGGCATCCGTGAGGCTCAGATTCCTCCACCTCACACCCTGCCTGGACTCCTGCCCCTGGAGGTCCCCATGCACCTCCGCCTAGAAGCTCAACACAGCTTCAGAACCTCCCAGTTGTCAGGCCTGAGCTCTAGGATGCGGCAGGAGACCCTGGCCGCTCCTTAACCCGCTTCCCAAATTCACCTGCCAGGGCCTGAATGCAAGACCAGACCCAGGCCTCTTGAGCCCCCAGATTCACTCCACTGGCCTCCCTCAGAGGAGAACTTGAGTTGCCTAAGCTGGGGCTCGGCATGGTTTCCCCAGAGGCTCCCCAAGGAGCACCCAAGTATCCCCACTGGTGCCCAGGCAGAAGGGCTGGTCTGGCGGTCCCCACCCATGGCACTGAGGTGCGACTGATGACTGATGGGGGGCGCCCCCAGCCGCAATGGCCACAGCCAAAGCAGAGAGGGCGGCCAGCACCCAGTTTGTCAGACTGGCCCAGGACTTGCCAGCTCCTGGTGACTCTCTCCAGAGAGGTGGGTGTCCATTTCCACCCAGGCTTGCCCGGCCGCGGGCGGGGGGGGGGGGGGGGGGGGGGGGGCGGAGGCGGGCAGATACAGCACAAAGGAGGAGCGAACGGTTCTTGGAGTCTAAGATCCCGATACACACAGATGAACGTGGACCAGGAGTGGTTAGAGATCTAGAGACACAGCAAGGAGAAAGCCGGAGACACACACCCACACCCACCCACCCACACACACACACACAGAGGAGCAGCGACTTTGTGAGAAACACTCACACGAGCGCAGACCCGGAGGAAAGGAGAGCCGCGCGCTAGCATAATCTAGAGGAAAACCCCCGGCAGGGACCTCCGCGGAGCCACCCAAGCGGTCCGGGACACACCCCCGGCCGCAGCGAGCCACAGTCCCACCGCAGGCCACTCGCGCGGGGCGGGGGACCGGCGCGCAGGACGCACTCGGGGACCGGGGATAGCCGGGCTTCGAGAAGCGCACACAAAGAGCCAGCCGGGCCAGCGGGCGCAGGCTCCGCCCGTGCGCCCCGTGACTCCAGCCCACCCCCCACCCGGGACTCGCGACAGCCGCGCACGGAGACGCGCAGCCCGCCCGGGACCCCGCCCCGCCGCGCCCCACGCGGCCCCGGCCGCCCCGCGCTCACCAGCTGCAGGCAGCAGAAGGCGACGAGCGTGCAGCGGCCGCTGCACTTGCCCATGGCTCCGGGGCCCGCGCGGGCCGTCCGCCGCGGCGCCCCTCTCGCTCGGCGGCCGCCGCGGCCGCCGCCGCCGCCTCCTCCGCGCCGCACGGGCTCCGCGTCCTCCCAGCTGCGCGCCCCGGGCGGCGGAGCCGGGCGCCTAGGGCCGGGCCCGGGGGCGCCGGGTCCTCAGGGCTGGGGCCGGTCGCTCGCGCCCCGAGTCCATGGTCCGTCGGCCCGCGCCGGCTCCGCCGCGCCGCCGCCTCCTTTGTCTGGCCGGCCGGCCGCCAGGCGCGCCTCCTGCCCCGGGGCGGCTGGCGGAGAGCGCGGGGCGGGGAGCGCGGGCACCGAGCGCGGCGCGGCGCACAGCAGCACTGCCCAGCTGGGGCGGCCGCCCGAGCGCTCGGCGGCCGCGGCTTCCTGGCCCCACCACGTGGCTCCGCCGCCGCCACCGGGAGGGCGTGAGGGAGGGGCGGGGCGGGGCGGCCGCGGGAGCAGAGGGGAGGGGAGGAGGGGGTAGGGAAGTGGAGGGTGGAGGGAGAGATGGGGCGTGAGTGGAAGAGTGCAGGCTTGGGGGCTGCTGACGACCCCGGGTCGAACTCGGACTTCCCGGCCCATGGGCTGTGTGACCTTGGGCGAGTCACGCCACCTCTCTGGCCCTCAGCTTTCTTAGCGAAGTGGGAATAACGTGTGCTTCAGGGTTGCCAAGGTGAAAAGCAGTTGTATGAATAAAGCACTTAGCCCTGTGCCTGGCCTCCTGAGAGTGCTGGAGCACCCCTCTCTCCGCCCTGTCTGTAGGACACCCCCCCCCCCCCCCCCCCCCCCCCCCCCCCCCGGGTTTCCAGCTGTGGTACTCTCCTGCCGCTCTGGTTCCCAGATATGCTCCTCATCGCAGCCTCCCTCCGGAGTGTCTGGTCACATTTTCGTCCTTCCCTCTTTCCTTCTACTGGCATTTACTGAGCCGGGACTGCATACACACCCCTGGGGGCACCTGGGATCCAGAGATGAGCAGGCAGCGCTGTTCCAGAACCCACCGAACTTCCCAATCCAGGGACAGACAAGCTCCCAAACGCATGTGGGTGAAATGCCTGATGGCAGAGAGACAGAGAGAGACACGTCGGGCAGGGGGCTGTGGCCCACCCCTAACCAAGGCTGCACTGAGCGGAAGGAGTCAGAAAGCAGAAGTCTGCCTTCTTCAAGACACTCAGAAAAGCACTCGAACTTCCAGACACATGCCAAGTTCATGTGATCCCCCCTGCCTCGCTCCTAACTTCTGAGTCATCTTGGAGGTTAGGATCACTCGGGTGGGAATCCCTGCGGCCTCCTCTGGGCTTCTCTATCCCATCTGACCATTCTGTGAACAGTACCTTCAGCTAATATCTCTGAAATACCTACTATGTGCCAGGAGCGCCCCTGGGCATGAAAGGGGATGAACCAGTCTCTGTGCTCAGTGAGGAAAACCATGTAATGAGGGATTGTCAGTACAAGAAACATACAAATACATAATGACAGATCCTGATGAGGGCTTTAAAGGACAATAAAGAAGAAAAGAGAGAAGAAGGGGGCACAATCCAGGTGTGGAGACCAGGAAGGGCGGGCCTCCCTGAGGAAATGACGTTGATGTTGAGAAGACAGTAGGAGGGAAGGAGAGGCAGAGGAGTGGAGAAACCATGTTCTGGAGGAAGGAACAGAATGTTGCCAATTCTTCCGGTCTCCTTCATTCTAGCCAGCGCTCCTGACCCTGATCCTGAATGATACGGATTCAGACCCATGGTTCTGGGCCCGAACAGCCAGGGGCCAGCCCCCTCTTCTCCCTGGACTACTAAAATGGTCTCTTCTTGGCCCCCCTCCCCCAGCCATCCCTCAGCATTAACGCTTGGTATTTTCAAACACACAGGATACAGGCGGGCGCCTGGGTGGCTCAGTCGGTTGAGAGTTAAGCATCGGACTTCAGCTCAGGTCACAATCTCACAATGCACGAGTTCGAGCCCCACGTCAGGTGCTGTGCTGACAGCTCAGAGCCTGGAGCCTGCTTCAGATTCTGTGTCTCCCTCTCTCTCTCTGCCCCTCCCCCGCTTGTGCACACTCTCTCTCTCAAAAATAAATAAACAAAACACACACACAGGATATTCGTAGAGTTGAAAGTGCATGTGCTGAGGTTTTCCCTTGGAATAATAAAATAAGGTAACAGTGGGAACTTTTTCTCAGCCTTGGCGAGTGACAGCTGTGTCCAACCAGGTTTTGTGACTAGGCTTCCAGGAGGCTGTGAAGTCGCTGATATAATATGCAAAGCTTCGTGTGAGCAGCTGTGCCTTTTTCTGGGGGAGAGGCCCTACAGCTTTCATCAGATTCTTCAAAGAGTCCGTTTCCCACAAAAGAATACGAACTAGCCCCACGAAGCCTCGGCCCAGATGTAACGGCTCTTCGAGCAGACCCTCTCTGGAACCTCTTCCAGACAGAGCCTCTGCCCGTTCCCTCTGTGACTCTAACAATGCCAATCGGTAATAATAACAATCATGGCAATAGCTTACCAAGTGCTTACTCTGAGCCAGGCACTGGGCGTATATTATCTCATCCAATCCTTCTAGTAACAGTGGGTTCTGCTGGGGCTGTGACCCGCCCTCATGACCTGGAGCGGTGCCTCACCTTGGAGCTGGCAGTAGTTTGTGCTACCTCCATTAGAGCTTTTACTGGGATTTACTGTACCTGTCTGATTTCGCTGGTTTTCCCCAATAGACTGTGTGCTCTATGCGGATAGCAACTGTGTCATAAATTATCTCTGCATTCCCCGGGGCTTGGATCACATTGGGAGTCAGTGAATACGTGGTAAATGAATGATCTTCCTGGCCGCGGGCTTCAGCGTACCTTGTGCCCTCTTTACCACCTGTGAGCCCAGGGTTCTAAGGGGGAAGGCGATCTAATTGTAGGAACTGCCAGAAACAGCTTTGAAAGAAGTCTGGGGGTTAGGAGCTGGGGATGACGTCCGGAGGGGCTTGTCATAACCGGCCCAAGGGATGACTAACCCTTTAAGTAGGGAAAGACTGTGGGGCAAACGAAGCAGGATTTAGAAATAAAGGGCAGGGATGATTCAGAGCAAACCCACGCTTCCTGCGTGAGGAGGCAGAGTCATGGTCAGCCCCGGAGAGAGGCAGGGGAGTTGGTGCTGAAGGCATGGGATTTATGAGATGGTAAGGAGTTTCTCCTTTGCCCTGAACCAAGTGGTCACAGGGTCTGAATCTTCCACCACGGCCCCTCTGAGGGTTGGCATGGAAAGCTTCGGAGAAAGTTCAGTCCTAAGATGGCCGAAATGTGAAACCTATTAATTTCTCCTTCTTCCACATTAGAGGATGGAACGGGCTCGCTAATGATAGTTTCTGGCATATTTTCTGACACCCACCAGTTCTCCAACACTGGCCGATTGTCCCACAATTCACCGCGGTTCTGACATTAACTACCCAGAATGAGTGCACACCCCCAGCTTAAGGGTCAGTCCCACAGGACCGTCTGCGCTTCAGATGCCAGCTGCGAGACTGTGGTCACCCCTGCTTGTGACGGACCAGCTCTAAGTCGGGGGCCCCCATGACCCCCTCCTTAGGTTCGATAATGTGCCTGTGAACAGCTCACAGAGCTCAGGAAGGTACTTTACTTACCTTTACTGGTTTCTTAGAAAGGATGCAAATGAACAGCCAGATGAAGAGGTACAGAAGGCAATGTCTGGAAGGGTCCTGGACACTTCTGTCCCTGTGGAGTTGGTGGGGGGGAGGGGGCAACGCCACGCTGCTAGCAGGTTCACCAACCTGGGAGACGCTCTGGACCTTAGTGCTCAAGAGATTAGAGCCCAGTCTCCAGGCCTCCTGGTTTGCGGGGGCTGAAAGTTTCCACTCTAATCACTTGATCTTTCTGGTGACCAGCTCCATCCTGAGTCTATGTCGGGGAAGAGGGGGTCCCATCCTAAGTCATCTCATTAGAATCAACACAGATCTGATCAAAGGGAACTCACAAATAACAAAAGACAATCCTGTCACTGAGGAAATTTCCAGAATTTTCGGAGCTCTGTGCCAGGAACGGGGACAAAAACCGAATATGTTTTATATCATCGAACGACAGCTAACATCTCTTAAGCATTCGATACTGTTCAGGGCAATTTCTACGCATTAACTCATGAAACCTCCCAGCACACCTCTGAGGTAGGTACCATTATCATCACCCCCTTTTTTTTTCTTCCAGATGAGGAAACTGAGGCTCAGAGAGGTTAGATCACCTGCCCAGGATCGTGTAACACGGAGATGGCAGAAACAAGATTTGAACCCGGGCAGAACCACTTTGCCTATAACATTCCGATTGCTTTCCTTACGTTTTTCAAACTTTTCTTTCTTTTTTAAAAAAAGTTCATTAATTTTGACAGACAGAGTGAGCGAGCATGAGCAGGGAAGAGAAGGAGAGGGAGGGAAAGAAAGAATCTTAAGCAGGCTCCATGCTCAGCGCAGAGCCCAACAGGGATGGATCTCACAGCCTCAAGATCATGACCTGAGTCGGATACTCAACAGACTGAGCCACCCGGATGCCCCCCAACTTTCTTTTTTTAACAGCAGAACCTTTTCTTCAAAACAAATCATACACTTCTAAAACAAAACACGTGGAACTGCTCTTTGTTTGGGGAAAGAACGGTGGCTTGCTCTCTGGGTCTGCCCTCACCTCCTGTGAAGGCCTCCAAATTAGCACCTCCATCCAGGTTTCTCAGGGGCAGCATGGGAACACTACTGGCCTAAATGATCTCCAGGGGGTCTTTTTTTTTTAATGTTTTTTTTTTTTAAATTTATTTCTAGGAGAGAGAGAGAGAGACAGCGTGAGCAGGGGAGGGTCAGAGAGAGAGGGAGTCACAGACTGAAACAGGCTCCAGACTCTGAGCTGGCAGTCAGCACAGAGCCCGACGCGGGGCCCGAACCCACGAACCGCGAGATCATGACCTAAGCGAAAATCAGACGCTTAAACCGACTAATCCACCCAGGCGCCTCTCCAGGGGGTCTTTTTTGAAGAGACGAGAGATAAAGAAGGGGAGAACCTGAAGGGCAGAGAGGTTGGTATGAGTTCCGCAAGGTCACGTAGCATGTTAAGGTCAGAACTGGATGTCAAGATCTACAGGTCAGTTCTGTTCCTGTGCCGGGCACTGAGCCAGGAGCTCTGGAATCAAAAATGAACAGGATAGGGGCGCCTGGGTGGCTCAGTTGGTTAAGCGTCTGACTTCAGCTCAGGTCGTGGTCTCACAACTCGTGGGTTCGAGCCCCGCGTCAGGTTCTGCGCTGACAGCTCAGAGCCTGGAGGCTGCTTTGGATTCAGTGTCTCTCTCTCTGCCCCTCCCCCGCTCGTGCTCTGTCTCTCAGAAATAAACATTAAAAAAAAAATGAATAGA